GATTAACTGCCACAATAAAAAAAAAAAAAAATAATAATAATACTTGATGCTCATTAATTGAGATTGCATACGTACGTATTTGATATGTGGTTTTACATTATAAATATTATAAATATTTAACGTTATAAATATATACTTGACAAAAAAGAAATGTTGCGTAAGTACGTACGTACGTATGTACGTATCTGGTATGTACGTATGTACGTACGTACATGGATGAATTTGTCCAAGCCTCTATAATTGAAGCCACAAACATTTACTAAAAAACGGATAGATGGTTAACAATAACGAAATCCTGATGAAGATTGAATGGAAGTTCACACCGAATAACGCAAATATGCATGTAAAAAAAAAGTTTAATGATTCAACTGAAATTCGTTCAAAAAATTTGATAGAAGAAACATGAAGATTGAACTTTTAATCTTGCGTTACCAAAAAATTAGATAGCGTTACTCCTTTCTGCAAATGGACAAAAATAACGTGAATAAAACAAACTAACCAACAAAAAGACCTCCATTCAAAAACGAAAAAGGAAATCAACCACCTAAGTACACAAATGAAGATCATCAGAAAAGTCACATGGTTAAAAAAGAGGGTCACCCCGCGCTAGCGGAAAATAGTACCCCAGTAATACATACCAATACATACCAATCAGGTCAATCAGGTGTAACGTAAAAATCCTTAATGATATCTTGTTATTAATTATAAATTATATCGATTATATCGATATAAAAACGAACAGATATTGAACATGAAATTTAATTGGACAATATTACCAAACATCACGTGGTTGGATAAATAGTGGGTCGTGGGGTGCATGCATCTTCGGAAAATAATGTTAGGGAACCAACAACGTGTGGAAAATTTGACACATCATAACTAAATTAGAACCATATATAATATAAAATTTGGCGGGAAACCCCGAGTATTTAAATATAAATGGCGCAGTAGAACAAAAATCGATATGTAATAGATATTTTATGGGCTGCTGTGAATACCATGAATTAGCACGGCTTCACCGTGCTAATTATCCTATGACTGTAACATTTCTGAATAAAGTTTTTACCGATGATGTCATACCGTGGAATATTTTTTGATATTTTCGATATTTTCACGGTATTAAATCATCATAAAACTATCATCAGAAATGTTCATTAGAATATACTTTGGATATCGATATGAATTAGAAACTCAAGGTTGTTATTACGTAGATGGCGGGACTCATACAGCATATTCAGCATGTGAATATACTCGACTAACGAAATTATGATAACTAAAAAGATAAAGGCAGTAAATTTCAACATTCTGAATTGTCAGGTTGAATTAGTTGGTCAATGATTATCGTTATTGCAATGAGGTAATAATTACATAGTTACCGTAACAATGTCGCAACCAATTACAAAAAAGTTATATTGGTACTGTACTTAATGAATTTAGGGAATTTAGAATCGTCGATTTTAACACATAAATTAGTGTCTATTATTTTTAGTAAATGACTAATTGTGTATAGGTAAAAAAAATTTGGTATGACTTCTTTTTATTAATTATGTCGATCATTTTAAATTATATCATTTGAAAGAGTTTGAAAGAGTTTGAAAGAGTTTGAAAGAGATTTTTGAGATTTGAAAGAGAATTCACACATTCACACAAAGCGTAAAACAAAGGTACGTACCAAATTTTAAAGTTATCCTCGAGCATGAGCCAACATATACAATAAATACTTACATGTTTTTACCGGTTTAAATTTAATAATAGCAAATAAAATGCGCTAAACAAAAAAGTTGCCAAAAAAGTTGCAGTTTATAGTGATACGTGTGTACTCATTTTTCGATAATATATTCGGGCCTTTGAAACAACGAGCTTGTCAAAGTATTCAAAAGTATTCGAAATAGTTATTGGTATGTATTTCTTGCAGCAGGAACTTTTCAAGCTAGATTATTTTATTGAACCATAACAATAATGGGAATTGACTAACTCAAAGAGAGTTGCCCTAACTCAAGAGAGTTATCCTAACCCAAGAGAGTTATCCTAACTCAAGAGTGTCATTTAAGTTATCCTAACCCAAGAGAGTTATTCTAACTCAAGAAAGTTATCCTAACTCAAGCATATATTTTATTTATTTTTATATGGAAGGTTAAGACTTATCACGTGAAACGGGTTATTGGTTTTAGGTAAATAACGTATCGGTATCGATATAGTATCAATATATAGTATCAATATCGATATCAAATATGCGGGTAAAAGAAACTTCTTAATGTATACGTCATTATAACATTATAAATTCCGAAATAAACACTAATCAAAATTCAAAGTTTGTCCCATCAAAATAGTGATGTCGCACATGATGAGTTTGTAAATGTGTAAGTTATGTAGCATGGTATTTACGTAACAATATATTATAAATTAAAAAAAAAGGTTGATTCTGTATTGTATATAAAAAAGCAAGTAATTTGCCATCTGGAAACAACCTTTTTTTGTTGGTTTTTGCAACAATCGTTTTCGTGACACCAACAGGAGATCATTAACCCCTCCAAATTTTACAAACAATAAAAAGGGTTACGGTTAATCCCCACTTTCAAATTTCTAATCTTCTTAAGATCTCATCCGACGTTAAATTTTTTTTCTTTTCCTTTTTTAAAAAGTTTCATTAAATTCTTATTAATTATGAATTTAACGCCGCTTCAAACTTTTTCCATGTTGAGCAATTGTAGTAGCTTTGAAGGTAAATGTTTAGTAATCAAAACTATAGTAATCAAAACTAATTTGATTCCATTCATTCATCAAATCGTTTAGAAAAAAAAAATTTTTTTGCATCCTTTGAGAATTTTTGTGAATTTCTTTAAAAAAAAGAAAAAAAAAAAGGATGTTTTTTATATTAAATTTAATGGAATTAATAGAATTAGTAAAATTAATCGATTTTATTTTATTTCTTTTTTTTAAAAAAAATAATTATAGACACTGAAACAAATTATTTCCCAATGACACCAAGTGAAAATGGAGAAACTCCATTGATAAATTTTAAACCCGTGCGAAAAAGTCGTTGGCGTCTCTCTGAAGTTCCACCAGAAATCATGCAATTAATCACTCCTCCTAGTTCTGAAGCATCGGGTTCTCCTACAAGGTTTTTACCTAGCACGCCTGGCACACCATTCTCAACTACAACTCAGTTAATCGACGATCATTGTTCGCCATTACCTTCTCCAAAGTTAAATAGATCAAATTTACGTAAAAAACTTCGTAAAAATCCTTATCCAGTTCGTTCGCCAGACAGAGAAACAACTGAAGACACTATGTGTTTAAGAATCAATGTATATGATATTTACAAGAAAAATCCAAAAGCTTTATTAGATAGACCACAATATAGACGAAATGGTTACAGAAGATTACAATCCGTTTGGGATACAAAAATTGATAAAACTCAACCTCCTCCTCCTCCATTACCATTTGATGAATTGATGAGTAACTTGGAAGATTTAGAACTTAGTAATAAAATTTTAGACACAATCGAACGTCCGAAAATTACATGGAGAGGTCCTGAATCAAATGTTGATATATTACCTCATGCGAGCGTTTTACATAGAGTTGAAGCAAAAGCTTGTGG